AACACACAGAAGTCGTCACTTAATTGAGCCTTCCCCACTCTATCCGCGAATACTTCAAACCAATCTCGCTCTACATCCTCCTTCTGGCCAACGAGACACTCACACTGCTCTCCCGATAACTCCTCTTGGCCTTCACCCTCACTCGTCTCTCCCTCGGAAGCCATCTCATCGGGACCATCCGAAGTAGCTATGACTGATCTATCAAAGGAGACAATCGAGTCAGCTTCAACAACTTGAATTACTTGTTCCCACGAAGGGGAATCATCTCTCAATGGTGTGCCAAGCGGTCTCGTTAACCGATCAGAAACATTGTATTGAGAAGGGATATGACAAAATTGCAAATCAATATTAGGACTGCATTCAATAATATCAGAACATGTAGACTTAATTGCGAGTAATCTAGTAAGCTCTGGCTTAGGTAATCGTGAGCACATCTTCTGGCCGTGGCCAGACAAGACCGCTCTCAAACGGAATAATGTAATACTACTATCACCGAGGATGACAGACCTCGTGACTTTGGACCTCAATGCCATAACAATGCTATACAACTGCTCAACACCGAGGCGCATTGCTTCCAATTCTCTCCTGGGAATCGTGCCTCCCGGAGTCACACTGAACTTAGCAAAGAGACGAGCACCCGAACCGACTCGAATATCAATAGCAATGCAGGCCTCAGAGGCATCGACGAAGACGAATAAAGTAGACACATCAAGATAGCGAGGGGGAAGAATACGATCAGATTGCAGGAATGAGTTACATGCAGTAATGGTACTCAATATAATAGATGCCGTCTCCTCGTCCACAATGTCCGTACCATCTTCGAAGTCCTTCCTCCTCTGCTTCAGTCTCTCATGAGCCAGCCGAGCCGCCCATCTGAGCTCCAAGGACACTTCCGCGAAAAGACCCATGGGGTCGAAGAACTTGCCAAATGCTGATCTCAGGGCAGACTCCGTGACCTTGGATTCCTTCGCCAATTCTATCTGTCGCAGCCGCACATCGATAACATCAATTCGCTCGCCACAGAGCCAGTCGTAACCGAGCCAACCTCCTGTTCTGAACTTCTCACTGAGAATCTTCTCCTTAGATACCCCTCGACCTATACAGTCTTCATCCGTGTCGAGATTGGACATTCGCTTGTCCTGGTGGACTTCGAACCCCCGCTCTTCTAATGCGGGAACCACCTCCCGACGAATCTTCGACACCTCCGAGCAACTGTCCCCTCGCAGAAGTACATCGTCGACATAGAAGGAGATAGCTTCGGCACCGCCCGTCCCCCCGATCTGTTTGAGAATCTTTCCCAAGACCGAAGACAGGGCCCAAGGGGACCAATTCGTCCCGAAAGGGACATGGATCCACCTTATGATCCTCGACCCGACGCACATCCCCAACCACTTCACATCCGATT